TATTCTTATCTGTAAAATGGGAAGTGTTTTTATTATGTTCACCTTGCTCCAAGAAACAGAGACTCACTCATGCTAACTAGAGTAAAGATGATGAATATTGTAATACCCACATAGTGTGTATGGGAGACAGAATCTCAGAGAAATCTGAAAATAGAATCAGCTGTAGGATCAGGCCTCAGGCAGAATGGAACTAGAAGGTAGTTCTGTATTTAAGCCAGATCTAAAATCTTTAGCCGGAGTAGGCAATGGCAACTCACTCCATTACTCTTGCCTGGAGAATCCCATGGATGGAGGAGCCTGGTAGGCTATAGTCCATGGGGTCGCTGAGAGTCGGACATGACTGAGCAACTTCACTTTCACTTTTCACTTTCATGTGCTGGAGAAGGAAATGGCAACCCACTCCAGTATTCTTGCCTGGAGATTCCCAGGGACAGAGGAGCCTGTTGGGCTGCCATCTATGGGGTTGCACAGAGTTGGACATGACTGATGTGACTTAGCAGCAGCAGAGTCTTTAGCATCAGGGATCCAGATGTCTTCACTTTAGAGCTATATTTTTAGTAACACCTTCATTAAGACTTCTGTTTCAAGTTATTGAAACATCAGCTCAATAGAGCTGGGCAAAGAAAAAAATATATACTGGATTACATAATAAAAAAAAATTTCTGTGTCTGAAAGCCGTGGGCATCACTGAAGTCAGGCGGTCAGCCAGTGGGGCCAGGACTCAATCCCTCTTCCTCCCTTGGCTCCTCTCTCCTTCATGTCGGCCTGACTCTCAGACCTCACAAGGTAACTCAAAGGCAGTGGGCAGGTCCAGCCTACCACTCCCTGTTTTAGGTTCAAGGTTCAAGGTAGGAAAGACATGACACTCAAAATGGGTAATTGAAGGCAAGGGTACTAAACAGATGATGTTTCAAAGAGCAAAAGAGAAGAGGGGATCAGTTCATCAAAACTGAGCCAGAGAGGGCTGTCTTATAGGACACAGTGAGTTTGGAGCAACTGCACAGAGAAGGAGTTAAGGGAATAATAGCCCAACCTCACTCTCTTCCACCTTTTTGGTGCAGCTTGTGGGACCTTAGATCCCTGATCAGGGATTGAACCCATGCCCCCTGCAGTGGAAGTACATAGTCCTAATCACTAGCTGCCCAGGGAATCCTCTTCTCTCGCCCTTGATCTGCTGGTACTAATTGGTCAGAAGGAACTTAGACTGTGCAGATCAGTTTTATTCAGGACACAGAGCGGGTGGCAGGGATGAAGAGAGTCGATTATTCAAGATACCAGTGCATCCTCTGAGATTTAAGTCCAGTGGAAAAGGCCAAATCTAAGCAAAAGTCCCTTCTTAGTCAGCTGCATCTCCTTAGTTCTGACTGAGAAGAACTAAGGAGACCATCCTGACCATCAGTGTAGACAGAGGAATGAAGCCTAGATGAGGTCAACTTCTCATGTCTGAGAGTACCACCTCAAGGAAAGCAGCAATTTTGGATTCCTTTATTTTCTTCTCTGATTCCTGTGTCTAGAAAGTAGAGCTCACTATTAAAAAAGAAAGAATAGGTTTAAACAGTATTCAAGGTGGCCATACTTCTTCCCCATTTATTATCCCATTTATTCATAAATATGTATGCTGGATGACTTTTTTGCAAAGGAGAGATATAAATAAATGTAGCACTATTAAGATATCTGGTGGGGCACAAAGAATTTAGATTTGGTAAAGGAAGGTGTTTAGAAGAAAATTTTGCTATATTCCTGTCATAGAACAAATATAGGCATGAACTGCATTCAGCAATTTAGGTGCTGATTTGGTATATTTATCACATTCTTGACAGTAATTTTTTTCCCTTTTGGAAGTTGTAGGAGTGAAGAGATGATGGCATATGTACCCACATGTTTCCTGCTTCGATGCTAATTTTTGTTTCATTTTATAAAGATGGAGAAACCGAGTCACGTTTCTGTTAAATATCTTATGTAAGACCATAGAATTAAAGTTTGATGTCAGGACAAGACCTTGGACACCCAGATCAATGACCAATGTTTAGTGATACCAGTGCAATTCTAGAATAGTCTTCAGAAAAGCATAGTTCCTCTTGTTTTTAGCTGATTGTCCTATATGTGTTGTATTATTTGGTTCCCTAGCATTTTTAAGAGTGTTCTCTCATTGACCAATGCTAAAGAAAAACCTATGCAAAGGCACTGTGGTGGGTGAGAGTATGGCTGGTGTTGAGGAGCCAAAAATCAACATGGCTGAAATGGAAGGGGTAAACACCTGGAGCAGGGGTGGGGACAGGACACTGGATAAGCAGGCAGGGCCAGACGGTACCTGACCTCAAAAGATAAACAACCATTTATAGTTATCAATTTTATTTTTTAAATTTGGGGCAATGATTTTTCATTATATTTTTAATGGTTTTCTTCTATTTAAGGTAGCCACATATCACCTGAATTACTAGTAATACATTTATTAGTTGTTGTTGTTGTTCAGTTGCTGAGTCATGTCTGACTCTTTGTGACCTATTAATATATCTAATAAGGTATTTAAAAGTGAGGACATTTAAAAAATGTTAAGAATAGGTGAGTGTACAGGATACATGGGATATGATGAATTCATGAAAGTAGTATCTGAATGGGAAAAGTTTGTAAAATACTGGTGTATTGGGCATTTCTCATTTGTCCCCTCATATCCACTTTCTACCCTTTACACCCTTCTCTGTGACCTCATAGCTGACGGCTAAAGCCTGTAACATTCTGGCTTGTCCTCTAGTTTCTAGTTGGATTTGGCCAATGGAAGGCACTGGTTATCTGAAAGGGGGAAGAGAGTGAGATAAGGGCCTTTATTTCCCCATATCCTTCTCTACAGGGTCACTGGGGTTGGTCCTCTACTAAGAGGCACAACTCGCATCATTCAGATCTCCCTCACAGCTACAGACAACCCTCTCCAAGTTCCTGTAACCACCTCCCCACCACACCTCTTCAGACCCAGCTATTGTTAGCACTGGGACACAGCACCATTCCCTGTTGGATTTTCCTTAATCCTCCCCACCCTCTTATAAATCTTCTCATTAAATTCTCCTCCACGTCCCATTTGAACAACTCTATGTTTTCCTGCCAGAACACTGATCAATAGGCCGGATGTGGTGGAAAGCGTGAACTTTGAAATCAGACAGAAGTAGATTTGAATCTTGGCCACTTAGTAGCTATGTGACCTTGGGCAAGTCCAAGTAGATAAGCATGGTATTCATCAACCCAGGAAGACTACCCTGTGAGTTCAGGCACCACATCTATCTCACTGATACAGTCCTGGTTCTTGGAGTAGTGTTTAATACTTATGTTGACTAAAAAAGATGTGCAACTTGAAGAGTTGTAAGTTTTATTTGGGGCAAAATGAGGACTGCAGCCGGGGAGGCAGCATCTCAGATAGCTCTGAGGGACTGCTCCAAAGCGGCAGTGGGGGAAAGTCAATATATAAGGCTTTGATGAAGGGGGAGTTCAATACCATGAAGAACTGATTTTACAAAAGGCTTTTTGTTACTCATGAGGATCTGAGGTCACCATGAAGGGATTTAGTGCTTCTCTAGATATGAGGAGATGCAAGGGTTGAGATAATAAAATCTGTTCCTAAAAACATCCAACTATCTAAAGACCTGTCCCACCAGATTCCCTGGAGCAGAGTGCCTCACACCACCCTGAACTTCTTCGGGGATTGTTGAAGGTCAACAGCTATAGTAGCTTGGGGTTCAGTCTCCTTAGAGACAGATGGCAAATGGCTTTGTTGTTCACTCATTGGCAATGCTCTTGGTAAGTGCCAATCTGTAGTTGACACTTAGCTGGTACTCATGAAAAACTTCTGTATGATAGATTTCATGTTTTATGTGACCCAGAAGGAGAGGAAGGAGTCAACTTGTCAAACATTCTTACTTTGCAGATAGTACCCAAAAATGAGGTATAAATTGTACAGGTAGTAACCCTCAGATGTGCTCTTTAATGGAAACAATACAGGGAGGGATTAAAAAGTGGGGGGAGGGAAGGTTTCCCTTATGGTCTAATGGTAAAGAATCCTCCTGCCAATGCAGGGGACACGGTTTCGATCCCTGGTCCGAGAAGACCCCACATGCTGCAAGCAACTAAGCCCATGCGCCATAGCTACTGAGCCAGCACGCCTAGAGCCCATGCTCTGCAACAAGAGACACCACCATGATAAGAGTAGCCACCCACAACTAGAGAATAGCCCACGTACAGCAATGAAGATCCAGCCAAAAGTAAACAAACAATAATTTATTAATTTTTTTTTTTAAGAAAGGAGAAAACATAGCAAGGAACTCATGGGCAAATGGTGCTCTGCTTACACACCCAGACAGATCACACAAATGGTTCTCTGTCCTTACAGAGCTCATTTCCTTCCCCATATTACCCAAAAGCCAGTCCCCTTCTGAGGGGGACTTCTGTTGCATGGCATGTCTTCTATCCAACAAAGAAGCAACATGAGGGATATCACATAAAGGACCCGAGGGGCCCACACAACAGACAGTGAAGGAGTCCCAGAAGGGCTGAGGGTTTATTTGAGGTACAGAGCCAGATGAGCAGGGAAGCCAGAGATGTCATGAGCCCTCAAAGTCAAGAAGAGGTAAAGAAATGGTTTATTAGGTCCCCACAGCTGCCACAACAAATTAACACTGAGTGGCTTATAACGACAGCAGTGTATCCTGCCACAGTTCTGGAGGCTAGAAGTCTGAAATCAAGGTGTTGGTGGGGTCATCTTCCTTCTAGAGGCTCTTTGCTTCTTCCAGCTTCTGGTGGCTTCAGGGATCCCTTGGCTTATGGCTGGGGACACCAGTCTTTGCCTCTGTCTTCACATGGCCTTCTCTTCTGCCTTACAAGGACAGTTAAGGCTGGATTTAGGGTCAACCCAGAAAAATAGACAATGATCTCACCTAGAGATCTGTAACTTAGCTACAGTATATTTTTCCCCCAAAACCTACAAAACATTTCGAGATTTGAGAATAGTCGGAAAATTAAGTAATGGGAATTGGACCCTTATCGGGGTCTTCTGGGAAACTGGAAGCACCGCCCTCTTCTGCAGCTCGACGCTTCTCCAGTTTAGCGATCAATTCTTTCGCGGGATTGAAGACGCCATTGGTCTGCTGGTCACAGACGTAGCACCGCGGGGTGGTGCGGAAATGCTGAAGGGCACATCCCTCGCAGAAATAATGCCTGCACTTGGTGACCACAGGGTTTTGGAAGGTCTGGCGACAGATGAAACACTTGAATGGTAGCTGCTCCTCATCGCTCGCCACTTCATAGTTTTCATCCTCGTCGACGCCATAGCGACCCTCGTCGAGCTCGCGTTGGATCTGCCACCCGTGCTTGTAATCTGAGCGGTCATGGAGGAATTTGCAGCTGTCTCCGAAGCCGCAAAAGCCGGTCTCCTTGTAGTCCTTACAAATGTCGGGCTGGTAATCCCAGCGCACGGTGGCACGCAGATGGTCGGGAGCTCGGATGGGGCCCTTCCTCGCCATTCCGGAGGAATCACTGCCCGCAGACGTGTCTTTGGGGCTCATGTATTTCTGATAATTATTCATTCCCCGGTAGATCTTATCATCTTCCTTGCCCCTCAGCTTCTCCCGGATCTTCCGGCTGCGCTCAAAGATGGCTTTTGCGTCACGCTCCTTCTCCGTGTCTAGCTCGTACACAGCGGTCGCCCCCATGTCCTCTGGCCCCACGGGTCTCGCCGAGCGAGTGGACTTATAGACCACGCCGAGACTCTCGGGCTCCTCCACTTCCTCCTCGCCACTCCGGTCCCCGGAAGCCCCTTTCTGTTTACCACCGCCCTGGGTCTTCTGGATCATCGGAGTGTGGATTGCTCGCTTCTTTTCTGGACGAACCACTCTGTTGCCTTCGTCACCACTGCTGCTGCTGCTGCTGCCGCCAGCGGCGCCGGCTCCGCCGCCGGACTCTTGGTCGCAGATCCGGCGTTTTCTGCGGCCTGTACCCCCCTTTCGTCCAGGCTTTCTGAAAAGAAAGGTGCACGCCTGGTCCGTCGTCTTTCCCGGGGAAAGCTGCTCTGCCATTTTAAGAGTCGCGAGCTCTGAAACGGTTGTGGCCTGCTGGGTGGCGGGGGGGCTCCTGCGCGTCACTGCACTCATGCTCTCAGCCACGAGGTGGATGCAAAACCGGCTGCGCAAAGGACTGTGGGAGCAAGGGTGCGCGAGAGCGCATGCGCGCGCCACTCCTTAGCTGCATTTTAAAAGACTCCCCCCGCCCCCCAATAAGGTCACGCTCAAAGATCCCAGGGGCTAGGCTATGTGTGTGTATATATATATATATTGGAGCCACCATTCAACCTACTGCAAATGGCAGACAAAAAACATGTTAGCCACGTTTTAATCTAAAGAGTTGATTGATGAGCTCTGCATTTAGTAGATGAAGAAACTGGAAGTAGTGTGCAGAAAAGAAATAAAGATAGAAGAGGGCTTTTGGTTGAAGCTCTTACCAGAGGGGGTGATGGCATGGATCAAAGCAGTCATTGTAGGAAAGAGAAGGTAAAGCATATGAAAGATCTTATAGAAGAACTATCCACCTTGGTTTATTTGGGAGAAGGAAAGGACAACCTACTCCAGTATTCTTGCCTGGAGAATTCCATGGACAGAGGTGCCTGGCAGGCTACTGTTCAAAGAGTCGGACATGACTGAGCAACTAGTGCTTTGGTTTATTTGAAGTTCTCTGTGACAATTGAGAAAGAGAATAGGATTTCAAGTTACAAGACCCAGGTGTAAGCCTCAGCTTGTACACTGACTAGCTATGTATATTTGGTTTTAGTCCTGCAGTTATAGTTTTAGTCCTTAGTTTTAGTCTCTGCAGTTATAAACTGTGAATAATGGCAAAACCAGCTCACTGCACAGACTTATGTGCAAGTTTGTTTTTATTTTTTTATGTGAAAGATTTATTCAAAGTTCAAATTAGACCCTACGTGGAAAGGTAGTCTCAGCTGCTAGTTAAATGTACAGGCCATGGTATTGGTCCACTGGTTTAAAATCCCCACTCTGCCACCAGCTATGCAAGTGACCTTGGGCAAGTTCCTTACCTTCTATTCCTTGGTTTTCCCATCTGTAAAGTGTGGATGACAATAGTTAGCTAACTCATGAAGCTTTTGTTGGAGGATTAAAATGAGATGATCCAAATAAAGCACTCAGTATATAGCATATAGTAACCCCTGAATAAATATTATCTTATTATGGAAAAGATCTTTGTCAACATCTAAGTACTACGGCAGTGACTTGTAGTTCTGGCTATGGATGGACATCTCTTAAAGCTTCAGAAAAATAAAGATGCTTGGGCTTTGCACTAGACCTATTGAATCAGGATCAGTAGTTTTTAAAGATTCTTAGATGATTGTGCTGCACAAAGAAGAAATTAACCTTGGTTAGACATGTTACTAGGATCCATTTCATAACAATATCCACTAGGAGAAAAAGCATAATCTTCATCTTAGACTATACAGTGATCTGAACCAACCTGGGCTTCACTTCTTTTTGTAAAAGTACTTTTACGGCACTTAACGATATGGACCATTAGCTCATTTAATACCTACAATATGCTTCTGAAGCAGGAGTTATTATAGATAAGGAAACTGAGGCACAGAGAGGTTAAGCAAATAACCAAAAGTCACACAGTTAGAAAGTGGTAGAGCCAGCATTGGAACTGTAGTCTTGTGGCTCAGACAATTACAGCAGACAGATTCTCTCAAAGCTATGGTGTCTCTCAAAGTATCTAACCTCTCTGCATCTCAGTTTTCTTATCTGTGAATGACAATTATAACACTACTTACTCCCTAGGAGGCTTGTGAAAATTAAGCAAGATGCTGCCTGTAAAGCACTCAGCAATGTATTTAGTGTTTATTGCTTAACTATTAAGCACTAAATAAAGTTCAGTCATTTTTATTAGTAATTTTAATATCATCATTATTCATGGAAATATAATGCAGGTTCCAGCTCAAGTTTAATAATCTGAGACCTCTGAGCCTGTTGAGCCAGCTGCTGGGGCAGGACACCTGGTTTAAGGCAATGTAGAATCTGTCACTTGCATTGTTACCTGCTGAGCCTGTATTCCTTTCCAGTGTTCATAGTACAATGATGCAGGGGGACTTGAAAAGTGGTACCAGGGAACCAGTGAAAACTCAGCAAGACTTTGATGAACAAGCAGCACTGCCTCAAGGCGCCCTTTAAGTTAAGGAAAAGTAGATGTACTGCCCTCTTCCAAAGACAACTTCCTGCACCTTTAATTTTTTTTAAAGGAAATCAGAGCCTTGACCCGAGGATGAGAGAGAGAGAGTCCTGCCATATAACACAAGTCACATATGCTTCCAAAAAGCACACATTTTACAGGTTGTATGAATCTCTAGGAATAAGAGCTGGAGGAAATTCAAACTGATTAGGTAAATTACAGCCTACTGGGACGAGGGAAACCAGGTTACACAATATTTTACAATTCCTGACACAAGCTCTGATTAGAGTAACATGAAGAGATGGGTGGAAAACAGTTTAATCTCTAAGAGCGTGTGTGTTGAATTTTTTCAGATTCAGTTTCACTTCTCAACACCTGGAAGTATCAGCACTCTGGATTAGTTTCCGTCATAAAGCACAAGAGGGCGCCAGAGAAGGTGGAAATTTTTGTTTTCCAGGGATCCATGTCAGTGTTAGAAAGTCCTTTCTGATCTCAATATAGGGGTGCTTACTATTAGTTCTTTTTGAGTTTTTTTAAATGAAATAACTATATGCATAAGTTTATTAGCTAATACTTTTGAGCAAGGTGGGTAGTTAGCAAATGTAAAGCTAAAATACTTAAGCATTGTTGGAGAAAGCAGAGAGTAAAGAAGATTGCTAAAATCTTCTTTTTTTAACTGAATCAGTTCAGTTGTGAAATATTTACTAGTTGCTTTCTGTGTGCATGCTGGTTAGATGCTGTGGGTGCCAAGATAAATGAGCCCACAATTTTTCATTGAACTTATTAGTCACATGAGAACTCAAAATTATCTATAATACTTTACTTTCTCTTATTTGAAACTCTATCCTCTTCACCTATTAATTTCTTCAGAAGGATTCTGTGTAATGGTTAAGCTCTAGAGTAAAACAGTTTTTCCTCTTTCCAGCTATTAACCTCCCTGTATCCCAGTTTTCTCACTTGTAAAATGAGATGATTATATCATCTACCTCATTGAGTCTTGTGAAGATTAAATGATACAATCCATGCAAAGTGCTTGGAAACGTGTCATATTTAAGAGCTCGATATTTATGAATTCTTATTCAGATATTACTTGTTCTTGGGAACACAGCTGAAATTATAGACAGAATGATGGGTCCAAAGGCATTGTTTGATATAACTATGTGGACCAGTAACTTCTTTTTTGTTTCTATCACCAGCAACAGAAAGTATCCTGCCTGACACAGCAGTTATATTTAGTTTCTTGATTTGTGTTAGTTACTGTGCTAAATTTTCCATATATTATCGGTCCTTTTAGTTTTCATAGTAGCTCTATGAGGTAGAGATATGACAGGTACTAATATTATTTCCATTTTATAGATGAGAAAACAGAGTAAAGACCAGAGTAACACATCTCAGATCATACAACTAATAAAGAGAGGAATCAAGATCTGAATCCATTTCTAGTCTTACAATATAAAACTGATATTCCCCCAAATGACACAAATATCCTTTGGTATAACACACTTTAAAAAGTATGACCTCAGTCATTTGTGGTTCCATGTAACAGCGACATACTTTCTTGAACCTGCACTGACTTTCTCCTTTTCCTGAGTATTGGCCATGGTCACTAGGAAAAGCCATCTAATTTACCCCTCAAATACCTACTGTGCTATATCTACTTACTGTCTTGCTAGAATGAACAGTCTATGAAGTAGGACTTTATTTTGCTCACTGTTGTATCCCCAACACCTAGGATGGTACCTGACATAGTATAGACACTAAATAAATATTTCCTGAATGAATGAACAAACAAATGTGGGTTGGCTTTCCTTGATCATATTGAACAACTTGGAGAGCAGAATGCTTGAGAACATTACACACTTGGTTCAGTTCAGTTCAGTTGCTCAGTCGTGTCCGACTCTTTGCAACCCCACTGGTCAAAAATCCTTGTGTGTTTTTCTATATTTTCATATCATAGAAGCTAAACACACATACACACACAGAAACTGACTGATAGATATATCAACTCTACCCTAAAAACAAACTCAGTTTCCTCAGATTCCACAGCAAAATTCTGTGAACACCTGGTTAGTACATTGAAACTGAGGGTAAAAGTTCCTAAACTCTGTTCTAGGCTCCATCCCTAAGGGTGAGGCAGTCTACATTCTTGCCACTATTGTGATGGAATTGGCCCCAGTACACAGCCTGAAGGAGCTTCCCTGGCGGCTCAGTGATTAAGAACCCACCTGACAATGCAGGAGACTCAAGAGGCTCAAACTCAGGTTTGATCACTAGGTTGGGAAGATCCCCTGGAAAGGGCATGAGAGCTCACTCCGGTATTCTGCCTGGAGAATCCCATGCACAGAGGAGCCTGGTGGGCTACAGTCCATGGGGTTGCAGAGAGTTGGATGCAACTGAGCATGCACACATAGAACCTAAAATATCTGGGGTCTCTAACTTTTTCACTAGCGAACCATGTGGCCTTGGACAAATGCTTTAGCCTCCCTGAAACTTCATTTCCTCCAATGTAAAACAGAAATAATCTCCTAACTTTTTGTGAGGATTAAATTACATGATTATGAAAACACTAAAAAATCAAGCAGGATATATAAGGGAAGACAAATTGAATTCATACATTTCTAGGTAAAAGAGGTTAAAAAAAAACACCCTCATTTTGATGACTGAATTCCTTATATTGATTGGCTTGTATGGGTAGCATGGGATTTGGCCAAAGACAAATTAGAAACAAGTTCTCAAAACATGATTTGGAAGAAAGCCGTTTGGTTGAAATCAAACTGGCTCAGAGGACAATTAGGTCAAAATAATAGTTTGAAGAAAGCAAGTTTCTCAGTTATTTATTTATTTTTAA